CACACACACACACACACACACACACACACACACACACACTGGACATTTCTCAGGACCTTGATAATCGCTCCAGAGAAGAGTTCTTTGGCTAAAGACTACTGCTACATCTGTCAGGTAATGCAGACAATGCCATAAGAATGATATTTCTGCTGTGTTTTGTGTTTCTTTGTTTCTTTCTGCCTTGAAGGCGTTGATGGCAAAGGCAGAAACATCAGCTCCACCTTGGCCAGGGCTTGTGTGTTCTGAACGGTCCATGTTGCTGTAATCTTTAGATCTCAGGGACTAATCTTAGGGTCAGGATAGAAGACATAGTCACCAGGGCCTCTCAGGCACATATCTTTGATGTCACTGGGATGAGATGGTGGAGGCGACAGGTGTCAGATGAGTCTGGACTTGGGGTGGCTGAAGGAAGTGGAGCCTTGACCTCTTTGAGCATGTGAACAGAAGTTCCCAGAAAAAAAAGCTATACACATGTTAAACATTCAACAAGGGTGACTGACTACCTAGGGCTTCAGTCAGTGGAAAGATGGAATGTCACAGATCCACAGCTAAATTATCTCCTCAAGAGCTGTTATCACTTGTGCCACAAACTGGAAACCAAAGCCTACTCCTTTATTTCATATGAAAATTTAATTATGCATCTCTATATATGGGCATGGCACTTGGGTTATGAAAGGGTAGGCTTGGGGCTAGAGAGATGGATCTGTGGTTAATTTGGTGTTGAGAACCAAACTCAGGGCCTCACACTATCTAAGCATACACTCTACAATTGAGCTACATGTCCAGTCCTAAAAATATTAATATTGCTAAGTTGTATCCTTTAAAAGGTTTATTTTTATGTATATGTGTGTGCCTTCCATATGTGTGCAGGCACCCTTGGAGTCCAGAAGAAGGCATTCGAGTCCCTGGGGCTGAAGTTATAGGTGCTCATTGGCCACCTGAGGTGGGGCTGGGAGTCAACTTGGGTTTTCTGGAAGAGCAGCAAATGCTCTCAAACACTGAGCCATCTCTCCAAACCCTAAATTGTCTCTTTTAAAAAAGATTTTTATCTTTATTTTGTGTGTGTGTGTGTGTGTGTGTGTGTGTGTGTGTGTGTGTGTGTGTATAAGTGTACACACAATGTGTGTGCCTGAATGCATGTTACAGTGGCCAGAAGAGTTAGTTTTCTTCTCCATCACTGTCTCTTCCTTTGAGGCAGGGTCTCTCCTTGAATGTGGAGTCTACATTTTCTTGGCCAGGCTGGCAGCCAGAAAGCTCCAGTGATCCTCTGTCTTTTCCTGCTTCAGAATAGGGGTGACAGGGGTGCACGAGACACCTGGCTTTACTATATGTATGCTGAGATTTGAACTCTGGTCCTCATGATATCACAGCAAGCCCTCTTAACTACTGAGCCATTTCTGCAGCCCCTTACATGTCTTTCAAGTATA